AACTTTCTTTGCATATGATACAGTAACTATTACTCTGCACAAACGTGTGCCACGTTTTGACAATTCTGACACCTTCCTTACAGAAATGGTTTTTCTCAAAAACAAATTGTAAAGTAGTTTTTGGCAGCTAATGAAAATATTTTTCTGCACCTAGAACAAATCAAAATCTAAAGAAGGGCTAGAGCATATGGTACTTGCTGAAGGATTCTCTGTATCAATTTCTTCAAATTTTACAGCATAACTTCTGCAACATGCAATCTAGTGTTGCCATGATGATGATGGTACCTTTTTGAGTAGCTAAAACAGAAGTTTTTGGTGAATTTCCACAGAGATTGATGGGTTGCTGTTGTCTGTCATGAAAGTTTCATCTAATGGTGAAATTAAAATAACTCTTCAATCCTAAGAAATAGCAATATCTTCCAGAATAAGAGACACTTATGATTTTTACAATTTCATCTACTTATTCTCAACTCTTTTTTTTTTTTATGAAATTTCCCTTTGTTGCAAAAGAAAAATTCGGAAGCCCGAACAGTTCAACAGTTGAAAATACTTGTCTGGAGGCAAAAATACTTCTTAATGCAACTGACCAGAATTCATACTTCCATGAAAATTTTTTTGGGGTTAAAAAAAAGGCCTTATGTTCTAATACATTAAAATGCCAATAAATTCTTTTGTTTTATTTTTGTAACACTTTACATTCAATATTTTTCATTATAATAGCTCTTGCAAATCTACCTTGTTATTTCGTTCCTAATCTTCAATTAAACAAATGTCAGTCTATGGATTTATCAGCACATCTTTTGTTATTTCGTTCCTAATCTTCAATTAAACAAATGTCAGTCTATGGATTTATCAGCACATCTTTTTGTATATACAGTTTAACCCCTATTAACAAGCATTTCCTGAATCCCCAGAGCCTTGAAACAGGAAACCAACATTCCCATTATGAAAACACTCCCTGATAACAGACAAAAGCTTTGGTCTTCTGTATGCTAAATAGAATTGCAACTGTATTTCTTTCTGTCTAGGTTAATCATAATCAGTATTTCATAATAATTATTAAGTAGTTACTGAAGCACAGCTTAGCTGTAAATTAAGCATTTGGCATTAGCAGTATTTAAACTGATCAATTTAGAAAAACATGATTTCTTTAGAATTGATGGAAATGGAGCAACTGCTCAAATGAGGTAGTTGGAAATCATTTCCTGTACCTCCTTTGAATAGCTGCAGTACCATGAATGTAAGCATATCATTAAGCTCTGCATTTATGTAGGGAAGGATACCACTAACAATTTACGAAATTATAATTAATGTCATCAGAATTCTTTTATCCATTGTTCGCCAGCACCTTGCACATAATTGCCATAAGATATCATTGGAATGATACAATGTATAATTTTAACAATTTTTGCCCAGTCATACCAAAGTTTTATTCTTACTCCATATGACAGATCGTTTTAGATAATCAGCAATTTTTTCAGCACAAATATTCTATTACAAATTCTGCTTACTTTAGTCCCCTCTACTTGCCTTTACATATTTGTCAGATATTTTTTAATCACCCTAAATGCAATTATTCATACATTATTATGTGACCATACATGTAAATGGTTTGCCTCTTTTTATCTATACTATGAAATTTAAAAATGAGAATTACGAAAATGAAAGAATTCATACATGTAAGCATACTGTCAAACCTCAGTAAGATGTCACTCTTGGTGGAAGAAAAAATTACTCACTATCCAAAATGATCTGTCATATGGAGTAAGAATAAACCTTTTTTTTTTTTTTTTTTGGTATGACTGGGCAAAATATTTAAGTAAATAAAACAAAATTATGAGTACCAATTCTCATTAAGTATTAAAAATGTATTTCAAAGCATTTACAGAGGGGAAAATATGTATATTATTGCAAAGAAAACTATTTTGAAATTAATGTTTGATCATTTTTGAAGTAACTACTAATAATTTTACAATTAATTTGATGCAAAATTTCATGACTTTTTCATGTTTCCTTAACAGATAATACATATTTTTTAAAGATATCTAGACTGTATACAGAGAAAATATATGCTTTTTAAACCACTCTTTATATATATATATATATATATATATAAATTAGACAATATAGACTAAGCTCTCCATAGTTTCTTTTCTGATTGGCAATTTCCAAGAAATTTTTTGGCAGTCACTTTCCAGTGTTACATCATTTTAGTAGTATTCAAAATTATTTCATCAACACTCCAAGTGTTGTTCAAATGGCATTATTATTATTGTTAAATCATTTTTAATATTTTTCCACATTTTTCAAAAGATGCACAAGTGGTACACAATCTTCTAAACAAGCTGATTATGATGCATAAATCTCCAACAAAGAACCCAGTGTGTTTGAAGTAAATTTCAATGATTTTCATTTACCACATCAGTGCAATATTTAAAGATGTATTGAACCGTATAAAAAATAAAACAAAAATTATAGTTAGCAACAATCATATTTATCTGGTCCATGACTGCAGCTTTTAAAGATAAAACCAGAAATTCAGAACAATACTTTTGCCCAAAAGCTGCAGAAATGGTATTAACATTCATGTCTATGAATGGTTCAATTAGTTTGTTTCTATTTGGAAGCCAAGCAATCCTATTACAATATATGTTTCTTATGAGCTGCAGATTTTATAAGGAATAGGTACATGCCATTTAATGTGCCTACTTCATATATGAATAGGTAGCTTACCTCATTCGTCTTCTTGAGTAATAAATACAAATCGATTTGATTATTACTAGAGGGGTAAGATATGTAGTACAGATTGGGGGGGGGGAATTGATGGGATTGAGACAACCTTTATTTTGGCAAAATAAATAACTTTGTTTATGCTTTCAGTCTGAATGTGATGAATCGGTAACTCAAATGTGACTCCATAACTAGCATATATTGTATGAAAATACACAGAAATTAGTTGGAACACAAGTCACCCATACCTGCCAACCTCTAAAGATAAAAATTCAGAAGATTTCTCCAAAATTCAGAAGAACACGAAGAATTAATATCATGCTTTGATATTAAAAAAATAACAATTTATACAAATAGAAAAAAGAAAATTGTACTTACATTAGTAAATCTCAATTAAGTAGTAACTAAAAAATTTATTAGGAAACATAAAACAAGAACTTAATGTTACACAAAAAAATTATTGCAATGAATTTAGAGTGGATTTTTTGGCTTTAGCCAAAAATTTTTTGGAAAATTTCCTGTCATAACAATTAGTTTCCTCATAAAATTTAGCAATTAAAATGTTTTCTAGAGTTTTTGGTGAAATTGAAGAACGAAGCATAGTTTTGTTTTTCTTCACAATACTGAAGACTCTCTCGCACTCAGCATTACTGTGTGGAATTACGAGAATAGCACATAAAACTCTTGCTAGTCTATCATATTTTGGTGTTCCATCAGCTCTTTTTAAGGTACCAATGAGGTAGCCGGTAGTTGGCGGTAAAACACAATGCAATTGGTGAAAATCACTGAATTGGCAAAAAATTCTAAAATTTCGACAAAAATCACTAAAAACACTTGAAAAAGGAAAAAAATCGTAAAAAATGGATTACAATCGTAAAATTGTAAAGACAAACGCATTTTCGTAAAAATTACGAAAAATTCGTAAAAGTTGGCAGGCATGGTCACCCAAATCTGAAATAATAGGCAGATTAACTTAGCTTATGGACAATTAAAATTTGGTTGTATATATATTTTCTTTTGCACTACAGTGCAAGAGATACTCTATTTTTGGAGAATTTTTCTTGCCTTTGTCTTTGATGTAAATGAAATTTCAATGTGAATAATTTTTTAGTACGTAGACCTCCAATTCTACAGTACAAAGTGTGAAATCTGGCCCCCTTACCCCCCTTTTAAAGTCTAGGAATAAAGACTATAATGATAAAAGGAGGCAGGTATGACAAAACTGGGATTTTTCACCAGAATAACAGATTTCTGCACATGACTTTTAAATACGTGCTAGCTAGGGAGTCGCACAGTGAACATTAAAAATTTATCACTTGTCATTGTATTTATGTTGGTCTTAATCAAAATTTCGGCCTTTGAGTGGTTGTATGGGGTCCAAGGCCATTGCTACACATTTTGCCACCGGGTACAATCTTTGTGGTCCTAAATTCTGCTGCCCGCTATGTCCCTAAATTTGAAACATTTTAGCACCTCTAAATTCTTTTGCCTAGTGCCTCTCCTAAATTCTTAAAAGTCAATCATCAATCATTTATGCTGCTTGATGCTTCTCTAAATTCTAAAATTTTTGCTGCACTTAAATTCAGACACTTGGCTGAGGTTGCATCAGTTGCACCTGCTCTGGTGTGTGTGTACAGAAAGTGGATAGACTTTTTTTTTCTATCTGACCTAATAGATAAGTCTGATGTTGTTAAGGCTAATGGTTCCCATACTAAATTGATAATTTAAATTCTAAAAATTTTCAAAAGAGGAATCGTTAAAGTGCTGACGATTCCAGACATCGAATTTTGTACAGGTTAGAACTGTATATATATTTTCTTTTGCATTACAGTGTAAGAGATACTCTATTTGTGAAGAATTTTTCTTGTATCAATAATTATAGTATACAAAATTTGAATGTTAATAACTTTTTAGTATGTAGAAATCAAACTTTATTATTAAATTTCTAACAATGACAAAAAAAAAAAAAAAAAAAAAAAAAAAAAAAAGGTTGTTTACTAATGGTAAATCAATATCTGCCATTGAAATACTGATAGAATAACTCTCTCTCCCTACATCAAAACATTTTACTGAACAAAATTTAAGAATTAAATTTTGCTACAGAACTTTTCTTTAGTATGGAAATTACAGTATAAGAATTTTAAGATTGTTTCATAGTTTGCGCTCTAAAGTCATCTTAAATTTTGCTCATATGATAAATTTAAAATTCGTTGCTGTCATTTTCTTCAATGTTTGTGCATGAAATATATGCAAAAATAAACACTGGACAATTTCTGTTAAACAAATTGTTATTCTATCACTTTTTGCTTTGTGCACACATTTGCATAAAAGTTTTACATCATTAGAAGATTTTATGTTTAATGCAGCTACAATGGATTCTACAATAAAGGTAGTAAAATTACATTCACAACACTTTTCAGATCGCAATCTTACAGCTGTAAAAGCTGCACATCATTAGGCATACAAAATAAATGAATGAATCAAAATATCACAGTTCTTTACACAACAAATTTAAAATTCTAAACTCATAACATATTTTCTAGTTAAATACAGATAAATTTTTGATAAATATAAAAGCTAATTTCATTATTACATGCTTTTTCTCACCTGACAGTATCTTATATTTAAAGGTACATACACAGACAATTAGTAATAAATGAGTCATCTGAAACTGACTAGAGGAGAATGAATATAAATAAATCAGCATAAGAAAGGATATTTCGGTAAATAGAACACAGCTTCTAGAGAGAGCTACCTTATCTACACACTGCTGCCAAGTTCAAATAAATACCACAAAATACAGTTTAAAAACAAATAAAATTCAGAGAGCATTTTTTCCCTCAGGAAGTATGGGAAGATGGGGAAATGCTGTCTATCACCATTGTTCATATTAAGGCAGGTGTGAGACAACTGAGACATGTGCTGCACCTTTCGGGAATTCAGGAAAACAAATAAGATTTCACTACAATTAGCTACATCTCTTTATTTTAATTCGATGATCAGATTGCTCAAACTACTATATTGGTACGGCTGATGTTGTTTCAAAGCTTAAACATTACAACTGATGTCGTTTCAAAGCTTAAACATTAAGTCCATACAATTACTTTTAGTCTCTGAAAAGTCACCCAGAAAAGATTGTTTAGGAAACAATTTTATGCTTTTTTTATGACAAATTATTTACATGAACTTAAAAATGGAATAATAATACATAAGCATGAACCATGCCTACTAGTTCCCTTGTTTCTTAAAATAAGTTACAGATGTGTTTCTGTAAACACTTTTATAAAAAAAGAGTTGATTATACTCTCATTTAAATTCTAATGCCAAGAAAACATAAATGAGAAACAGATTAATGCCTTTAGTCAAAACACACAGAAGAAATCCAGAAAACAGAAAATGAAACAAAATAAAACAATATAAAAAAATCTTTTGGAATATAAAAATTAACTACAAGAAAATAATATCTCCCCCATACGTGAATTTTTCTCTAATGTGCAACATTACCCACAGGATGAGAAAGAAATTGTGCGCAATTGACTATTTTTTATGTTTGCCGACTTTTGACCTTAAGACTATAAATGCTTAAGTTGCTTTCTTTTTTTAATTATTATTTCTATTCAAGAGCAATATCACTTTAAGTGCACACAAGTCCTCCACCTTCCCTTTCATATTTTTCAAGAAATACAAGATATCACTGAGATGATTATCAAAAGAAAGTTTATATGATTTACTCAAAAAAGAATTCAAAAGCACATGCTCTATGAATTGTCTCTAACTTATGTATCGAAATTCATGCTGCTCTAGACATAAAAAAAAAATGGAATACTTGATAAAATATGCAATGTATTATTGGTACAATAGTGCCAAAGTCAAAAATGTCTCAAAGTTTCCCTCCTAACAAATATATTCTAAAAAATTTATTATTACATGCTAGACTGCATCTCAACACAAAGACAACAATTTAAGGCTCACAAAGAACATGCTGAGTGCAGCAAAGTTGATGTTAAGCTCTTGAGTAAAAATTCTGGAACTTCAAAGTTCTGTAATAACTGATTAGTACATGTTTTTAAAGCATTTAGTGAAAACAAATATAATGAGACAAGCATAAAAATACTGGGAAATTGAAGTGCCATATATTTTGATAAAAAATGATACATATTTAAATTTGATCCACAGATATTTTAAAAAGCAAAAACTTAAAGTAAAGGCACTTCTTGGCAAATAGGGTACAGCAAAACCAATTCATTCTTCAAACATGCTAGTAAGAATGGCACAGGTATATTCATCAGGGATGAAAGGTGTACTTATCTTGGGGATACATACCAGTATTCTTGAGCTTGCAAGATGTTATCAATAAAATTTTTCAAAACCTTTTTCTCTTTATTTATTATGATTTTGCAGGTTTCTGAAAAGGTTTTATTAAGTACAATTTGTCACCTCTAGGACTAGTATATATAGGAGCTCTCTTATAATGTTCTACTAAATCATCCAATGTGTCAAACCTTCTCTGCCCAATGCAAAAAACACGACCATCCACATGTACTCTAAAATGCTTGTTTCTAGCAGATGCTTTCAGTGATATAGAGTAATCACCAACCTAAAGAGAGAAAATTTAAAATGTTATTTATTTTAATGTGACAATTCCTCTATTTCGATGATTATATGTGAAACATCCAACAGACACTTTTAACATGTTGACTGCCATGAGCATTTGACGTAGTTTGCCCACGACGCCAACTTGAAGTTTTTATTATGCGATGTATATTATGCCGAAATATTATCTACAGAAGATAACATGATTTATGTAATCGTGCTTAATGCATTTTTCGTGGTGGGGTTACTGGCAACTCCCGAACATCTGTAGACCATTTTTGCGATTTATAATTTAAATTTTTACGATTTATTCTTCTTCAAGCTATTATAGTAACAATGGTACTATTTAGAAATTTATCAATATCGATATTTACTTTAATTATGTATTTTACTATGGGTCGCGTCACCGGTGGCACCCACGGCGCTGTAGCCAAGTCAAGTGCCGGTCACTGATGACCCCCACGGCAGTCAACGCGTTAACTATATTCATTTGTAATAAAAATCATTTGAATGGATAAAGCTTATAGTAAATAAACTCTCATAGTGGCCTTCTCTGAAAATGATTAATATTTTAAGAACATAATTAAATAATAGTACTGAACAATGCTGATACATTAGAATCTTCTGGAATTACAAAAACTTATTTTCGACTGTTTCAGTGTAAATGAGATTTTATAAATAAACTTCTACACTTTAATACAGTCTTAATTAAACTGCAGTACATTTCATACACGTAACATTAAAGAAAATTTAAATATATATATATTATTGAAAGAATGCCCAATATGATATTTAAATTCATATATATAATGCGATATGTTATAAGTACCTCCTAGTACCATTTGTAAGCTAATTCATAACAATCACTCCTTAGTTCTACTGAAAAACAAATACTTGCAGACATTCACCTAAAACTAGCAATTATCTGTAGTTGAAAGTTACTCATATTGTTAATAATGAAACCACATTTTATAAACATTCTTTTAAGTTTTGTAAATTGCAATAAAACTGAAATGACATCTAAATCACAAACATTATTATAATAAAACATAAATGACACAATATTATTACATTATAAGTAACATTACATTATTTAAATATTATTATAAATTCTTATACTTACCAATTTAACAAATGAGGCATACAAATAATTTTTCCCGTATAAACATTAACAAAGCAAACTGAAACTTCTGAAAAACTGAAGTCGATCTGAATACTGAAGATAGCAAGCATTGTTTAAAATGTTAGAGCCATATGGCAGAGGTTTGGATTGTAACAGTCACTGATAACTTTTGTATATAGTACTAGGAAATTTAGTTAGGAAATGAAAAAGTTATTTGAAGCTTAATGGCTTATCCACAGTTCTGAGTAAGAGATCGTCTGTCAAACAAAAGGCTTAGAAACTTTAACAGCCTCAACTTCCAGAAAGTATCTGAAACTAACAGTACTTCTTCCAAAACGAACAAATAAGCACATCAATGGTAATCATTTCCTGTAAGACAAACCCCTTTATTGGAGTGCAAAATCGCTTGGAACTACAGGTGTAATCGTTTGGGGATGTTTCAATAGATAATTTTTAAGAATGAGAAAAAATAAGAAGACAGAACGTGACAAAATTGAAAGTGTCACATCTTTTATGATTGGTTACTTGCAAAATGGATTACTGAATATACTATTTTATTGAGCTAATTGAAGTAGACAATTTCAATTGGTATTTGTTCTTTAATTAGAAAAGATTTGTATTTTCAGATGGCTGTGTGCTCACGGGGCTCCTGGCGGCCACCAGGCTTGCTAGCCGCTTAACCCACCTCTGGCCAGAATGACTGGATTTCATAATCGAGTCAGATGTTTTATTTTAATGTTTACGGATTATGAAATCCACTGGCTTTTATGCCTATTTGTTTTTAAATCTTATATAATTCTAAATACTGGCTTTTGGTACTCAAACTGGTAAAAAATAAGATGATTGTTTTTATAATTTTAGAAAGGAAATTTTCACTATGAATTGGCTTTTTCCAACATGAATTATGCTTGTTACGCTCAACTATCTCAAATTTCAATCAAAAATCAAAATATCCAATATCCAAATTTTGGGCAGATAATTTTAAATTATCTTTTAAAATATTTAAATAAACAGCATGGTTCATTGTGCCATCAATGAATAATAAATTATTGAATCCTAATGCTGACATGCACCCCTCACACAAGAACACCTCCAATGTCATGCTTTACTATACCAACCAAGATCTTGGAATTAAGCTGCACATTTCTTTTTTTTTTTTTTCTTTTTTTTTTTTTTCCCATACAATTGTATACCTAATGGAACCAAAAATGTTAAATTTGCTTTCACCTAATAAGACATGGTTCTAAAACACTTCAGGCTTATTTACCCTTGATTTTGAGAAGTAAAGTTTTCTTTTGCACTTTTAAAAAAAATTTTCTGAGCAGAGCGCCCATGTAATCCAGCTGATCTGAGTACTCAACGAACAGTTTTAGATGAAACTGAAGTAGAAAATTTTTAAGTAAATTCTGTAGAAATCTTTAAAATGCTCAAGCATAGATTTTTCACAGATTTTCTAACTATGCATTGCTGATCATTTTGAGTCAAGTCCTCTTTGCTGCACAACCTCTTCTTATTCATTTTACATCTGATTTTCTACTTTAATGCATTTTATAACATACTGCACCGTAGAATGAGATTAATTTACTAATTTAGTGATATCCCAAATCAAATTTTCATCCTTATAAAATATTATCAATTTTCAAATGCTGTTCGTTGTTTCCTTATGACCATGAGATATCTTTAAACATTAAATAAAATATAAAAAAGGAAGCAAGCAAAAAATAAAGACAAAAAAATTTTTTAAATGCCACCAAACTGCAAAAATAAAAAAAAGTGGTAGATGATAATTTTATTTACAAAATTTTACAAAAATGTTTCGGTGCACGGTCACTTTTGTGGTGTACTTTATCCATGTCTCTTCACAATTTGAAATTTAGAAAAAGAAAATAAGTCAGTATTAAAAACTTTAAAGTTTGCTTTTATTCAAAGATATGATGAAAAGATATGATAATGGAGATATCATGAAAAATATTAGGCTTTATATTCAAATTCAATTCCGAGTTACAGTGCCTTTTTCTGCAAATTCTTAAAGTGTGTGAACACTTTTGTGAGACACTGTATACACCAAAGAGCAATTACATTATGACCACCGTGTTAATAACATGAAGGGCCACTTTTAGCCTTCAAAACTGCCAGCACCCGGCATGGCATTGACTCCACAAGGTGCTGATAATAATCTGAGGTATCTGGTACCAAGCACTCACCAACAGGTCCTGCAATTCCCACACATTACGAGGAGGTAGCGTGGCAGAACAAATTTGGTTTTTCAGAAGGGGCCACAATTGCCCTAATTGTTTAATGCCAGGTGAATGAGGCCAAGATATGAGTTGAAAGTCACTGGAAAGTTCCTCGAAACACTCCCTGACGATTCTACCCTTATGACATGGCCATTATCCTGTTGGTAAACACCATCCCCTGCCAGAAATACAGCTGTCATGAATGAGTGAACCTGGTCTGCAATGATGTTCACAAAGTGCACAGATGTCAGGGATTACTCTGTGAGGATTATGGGTCCTAATGTGCTCTATGAAAACATTGCTCACACCATAATACCCCCACCACCAGCTTGTCTCTGTCCAACTGTGCATGCAGGAGCCAGGTTTCGTTTGGAAATTGGCACATGCCCATCAATGTCATATACCAGGAAACATAATTCATCAGACCATGCAACTTTCTTCCATTCTTCTAATGTTCAATTCCAATGTTTGTTGGCCCACTGCAGACACAGCTGGCGATGATGTGTTGTCAGTGCAGGGACACGCTTCAGCCTTTGGCTGCATAGGCTCATACACAGCAATGTACGCTGCACGGTTTGCCGAGCAGGGCTGTGGAGTCGGGGTCGGGCAGGTTTTGGGGTAAAAGGAGTCGGAGCTGGAGTCTCTAAAAACAGGTCGATGCCAACTCCAGTTTTTGTTGGACAGTTTGAATTTGAAAAGAAATTAAAATGAATTGAAAAAATTTAATGACAAGCTGAATTATTATTTTTATTTACAGATTGTATGCATTAATAAATAGTAATTTGCTATTTTATTGACATATTAATAAATATAAGGATGGATGTGATATTTGCCATTAGCAATTAAACTGATTCATTTAGTTACAAATCTCGCTGGTAAATTTAGGTAAGCAGCAATAGCAGCAAGAACTCCTAAAATTGATGCCATTGTTAGGAAGTGAGCAAGAAAAAAAGCAATTGCTGATCAAGCAACGCGATAAGAAAGTACATATTTGATGTTAAAGAGTTTTTAGAATTAAGAATTTTTTTAGAAGAAGTAGATAATCCTAATGTTTCACTAACATAAAGACTGTGGAATGATCTTGCAGAACTGGATACCGTATATAGCCACAAAAAAGCTGCAATCTGAAGCATTGACAGGAGGTGAGAATAGAAGAATGGGATGTTTATTTTTTTCTGAAATGGAGGGTTTATTGCAGAAAGAATCATTTCTTCAATAAAGAAAAGAGAAACTAGTTTGCTAGACAATGAGATCTTGTAGGTTCAATATATGTAGATCCGAAACACTGAATTTTCTTGAATAATGAACGAATTAAAAAGGCAAAGAAAGTCATCTATGAACTTTCACTAAGAATGAAATTATTCTCAGAACAATTTGAGAATTCAAATCAGGACAGTCAAACTGCAGACACTGCAATTGAGGCTCTATCATCCCTTTTTAGTGATGAACTAGATTTTATGAAATATTTTTGGATAATATTGAAAAGGCTAAGGCAAAGCGAATGAAAATAAAGAACCAAGACCCTTTAGACATAAAAATGAAAAAATACAAACAAGATTTCTACATGCCCTTTGAAGAATAGAGAAATATGATTGCACTTGCAAGACACCTTTTTTAGAACTTATTAAAATCTATCCTGAAAACTTAAAAGAAATAGCCCTAACAGTAACAGCTCTTCCTCTTACTCAAGTTAGTGTGGAAAGACTTTTCTCAGCTTTGAAGTTTATCAAATCCGATCTATGGGCCTCCAACAAAGATCTTGCTGAAGCTACACTGTTTCTTAGAAATAACTAATGCCAGTTTTTCTATTTCATAATAAATGCTAATTAATATAAATAATTTGCAATGTCTTCATTTTTTTTTTTCTGTAGCATCTATTATTTCCTCTATATTAAAAAAATAAGCTGTAATCCATGAGTATATGTTTACATATATATATATATATGAAGGAGTCTGACTCATTAAAAGTCTAGGAATCACAGTCTGTCATTTTCCCTATCGACTCCACATCCCTGGTGCTGAGGAACACTGTCTGAGTTGCCACTGTTGTAGCTCTTCGTTCACACTGAACAATGCATAGCAATCTCCACTCTTCTCTGGAATTCAATGTATCGGCGATGACACACTGCTGGCCAGCGTCTTGTCATTACACCATCCACACATCACTTTTAATATGTGCTTACAACAACTGCACATTAACATAGCTCAATAAATGCACCGTTTCTGATACTGATGTTCCCAGTCACCAAGCCATAATGATTCGACATTTATTGAAGTCTGATAAATCACCTGCTTTTCCCATTATGTCGCTGATCACACTATGTTTGGAAAGACAATGCATAGCCACTTTATATACGACAACATCAGCCATGTCCAAGCAGTAGTTTTGTTCCTGGATGAGCCAATTATTATAGATGGAGGGTGGCCAAAATGTAATGGCTCTTCGGTGTACATATAAAGAGATAATTAACACAAAATTAAATCTTTCTCACACTAACAGCAACAGGAGAACAAAAATTTCAAAAAAAAAAGGAGGGGGGAGGGGCGGGAAGCAGTATAATAAAATTCATATGTAATTAAAAATAAATGAAAGTTTGAAATTCTTTGGTCTTATTATAATAAGACTTATAGACTTATCTTATTGTAATATTTATAGAACAGCCAAAAGAATTTTTAACAAAGCCACATTTCTGAATTATATCTAGACGAGAATCAAAACTAATTCAATAAAACAAATCAAGGAAATAAATAAAAAAAAGTAATTAAATTAGAAAGATAAATAAATGTTAATATGAAACTAAAATTTTTTTTTTTTTTTTTTTTTTGTTATTTGTATTCATTTATCAAAATAAATCTATTCTGATATGACTGAAAATTAATTACACAGTATAATATCAGGCCTAGAAGTAATAAATTCTTCAAGAGGAAAATCAGAAAATAAAAACTTATAACTTGAAAAACAAGTTGGGAAATACACAGGCCACCAGGAAATGCAGAATCCAAAAAAATGGAGAAAATGCAAAACTACCCTATTTTTGTTAAAGTTGAATTTTTTTATTCTAAATTTTTAAAATTTAGAATTAAATTTTTTTTGCAATGGATGAGGAGAAATAGTAAAAAAAGATAAAATTACAGGGAAACCATATATGTTTTTATAAGATGGAAATGGTTAGAAATCAAAAGTAATTGCATTTTAAGCTAAACGCTTTGAGAATACAATGGATGATAGATTCAGATTTTTTTAGAAATTAAGTAATTTGTGATACCTATTGAGGAAAGAAAACAGTAAAAGAAATTAAAAAATAATATACTTTCTACTGGAATTTTTTTTTTTTTTTTTTTTTTTAACTATTTTCATTTAATAAGTAAACTGTAAATTAGAAATCCTGCTTCTGCATGTTTTGCATCCCTTAACCATTCTTAATTCACTTTTACGTTTATTTGCCAAATTCATATTTACCAAATTTGGGCTTAATGCTTTTTATTTTGCTTTCAAACTATACTTTTCCCTCTGTCTGGAAACTTGTACCTACAGTGTTTTAGTGTATTCACAAAAGGTGCTAGATAAAGACTAGATTCCACTCAGCTGAACTTTTTTTATACACTTAAAACTTTTATTTGTATCAGCATAACAGTAGTAATTACAGTTGTAAATAATTCCAGATGGAGGAAGTAATAACCAATCTAAACCTCAATTTAAAAAATATATTCATTTATAAAAAAATATCGCATAAATTTTTAATAGCTATTAGAATGTAGAACTTTAAAGTGAAAATCCTTTCATGTAATATCTTCCTTTAATGAAATTCTTTTTTTTACAATACATTATAAATATTAACATGATATAAAATATGGAATTAGAAGTAACTTACATTTGTTTCACTGTCACGAACTATGAAGTCACCATCTTCCGCATATTCACTTAACATTTGGTCACACTGGCTTCGAGTAATGCTGCCATAATACCAGCTTTTACCATTTAGGTCAGGCCGCTCCTGTAAGCTGCCAAATTTGTTTCGAAACAGTGCTGGAGAGCCACCACTGGCTCCAAGTGATAAACTGGTAGTCTCCTTCCGAGATATACCATTGTCCATTAAAATATCAGCACTACTTGAGAGTGGAAAGTTTTTGCCAGGATATGTCTCCACAGAATTACCATGGCAAACTACCTGAACATAATTCTTTGGCACCAACCCAACTTCATTCCGCTGATTCCTAGCTTTCCACCAATCTGGGTCATTCTCGGGTCTATCAATGATTTCTAAATGTTCACCCCTCTGAAAACTTAGTTCTTCTTCATTTTGGGAAGTAAAAGAATAGAGAGCCAAAACTACATCTAGGCAACCACTGCCTTGTAATGTGTTGTTTGCAGATCCAGCAGGTGTATAATTGTGACTGCTGTCATTTGCATCATCTGCTTCTTCAAGAACATAATTTGAAGGGAACCATCCAACAGTTCCATCACATTCTCCCTTCCACCAACCATCATTTGATTTCTCCATAACCAAAACTCGAGCTCCCTTTGAAAGTGACACTTCATCTGGTTGCTGAGCTTCATAGTTATATTTGACAATAGCAGATGTTCCTGTATAGCTGCATGTTTTATCAGACACGTTACGAGGTGAGTCTACATTCACTTCTTTTGTAGCAATAGGAGATGCAGTAGGAGACATCTTTGCCTCTGTTTTCTTTTTCACCTTCCTACGTATACTATCAAAAATTGAAGGTTTCTCTCTTTTTACATAATTAGAAGGAACAAAACCAGACTGATGTTTTGCATTCTGCACTTTCCACCAGTGTTTGCTATCATCTAGCAAAATCAGTCGTTCACCTTTCTTGATATCCAGTTCTTGACTTCCTTGAGCAGTGTAATCATATTTTGCGATGACATAAGTTTCTTCTGTCTTTCCTGTTAACAAAATAAAATTTCATTTAGGCTACATCTGAAGAAATTTTTTTTTTTATTATCCAGAAATGGAAAACTAAATAAGCATGAATTTACTTGTTAAATATACATGAAATAGCAAGTAATGGATATTGATAATATAGATGAGCAATAAATAATGAATTATAATGATAATGAATAACATTCATCATTTTGGGAAGTAAAAAAAAAAAGAGCCAAAACTACATCTAGGAACCACAATCTTGTAATCAGTTGTTGGCAGATACAGCAAATGTACAATTATGACTGCTGTCATTTGCATCATCTGCTATTACAGTCAAAAGTCGTTAATTCGGACACCCATAATCCGGAATGATCTATAATCCGGACCTCAAAGCTAAAAACTTTCTGCGCATGCGCCGCGTTGAAACACGCGCACAGGCGTTTTACGCGTGCGCGTAAGACCTTTACGACTGCGCATATGCATCTGCGCAAGCGCAGAATACGTTTTCGCCTGCGCGTTTATTATATATAAAATTATAAGCTGTACTAAATTATCTAATTATCTATTTCAGTTAATGTTGATGATTGCGTTGTTCCTTAATCTTCGAATTGGATCCGGCTTATTATTTTTTGCAGACTGTAAGAGCAATTTTATAAAAGTAAACTTGAACTTTCGATTATGTCAAATAGAATTTCCGATGCTGGAGCTCCCAAAGGATCTACAAAACGAAAGTATGTTTCGATGTCCATCAAACAAAAAGTGGAATTGCTGCAAAAAATGGATAAAAAGACATGAAGAAGGTGACAGAGAGGTTAGTGAAAACGAAAAAATTTCGATTGACAAGTTAGTCGGTATTCTCGGCACAGCAATTACGGGACTTGAACAGCGGAACTTTGTAACTGAAAAGAAATTATGTCTGTTTATAGAATTAAAGAGAAAAGTATTATCACATAAAACGAAGCAACTTAAACAACTTACATTGAAAGAAATGTTTAATAAAGTAAACAAATAATATTAGCTTTTTTTTTTTTTTTTTTTTTGTAAATTTTGATACCCTTTAGATCATAATTGTTCTTTATTTCATAAATTACGGTTTCATATTTTTAATTTTAGAATTTCTGCATGCCATCTTACGAGATTTAAACTGATGATCTATAATCCGGAATCGCCGAAGTCCCGACGAGTCCGGATTAACGACTTTTGACTGTATTATACACATGAATTATTTAATAATGAAAAATGGTTTCCGAGGATGAGTTGTAATAAAATAATGCAATCACAGTTGCATTTATTTTCAAAATATGGGATATGTATGACAGTTGATTGTAAAATAAGTCCTGCAGTGCAAATTATCAAATAACTATTAATAAATGCATTTTTACCTACGTAGATAAAATTTTTCATAATCAAACATTTTTGTTAATTTCTAAAAATTATTATTATGTTAAAGCAATGATGCAGATGTGTTTGGATATGCATCATAGTATAAAATCTTTACATTTATTCATAATCCTTTTTGCAAAATAATTAAAAATACAGTACAAAGTCCCAGATTCGGACTCGTCGCGACTTCCATGATTCCGGATTTTTCCAGATATTAGACCATCAGTTTAAATCTATTAAGATGGCATGAAGAAATAATAAAATTAAAAATATGAAATCAAGATTTATGAAATAATGAAGCATTTATGATCTAAAGGGTATGAAAATTAAAAAAAAAAAAAAAGCTTAATATTTATTTTTTTACTTTATTAACCCTCTGAGCGGCGAAGGATTTTAGATCTGTCATGAAAACTGGTATTGAAACAGCATTTAGAAACATATTACAAATTTCGCCATCCCGTAATCGATTGAAGATTGAAGAGCACTATCATCACAGTGAAAAACTTCTTTCATATCCTCTCCATTTATTACCGCTTCTCCACATTTCTCTACAAAATCTGCCAATTGGAAAATTTCACCTTTGGTTTTGCAATATCCGAAAACCTTCAGTTTCATAGGTATCATCATAAAATTTAGCTATCGTTCACTATACATATTTGACTTATGTATTATGAGATTGGCGACTAAAGACATGTTGTTCCACTAAATTTTACCTTGCTTCTATCACACATTGAGACAATTAAGCCTGAACTGTATTAGTTTAGTTATTTATTATACTTACGCCTATTTCTTACACATGCTTAATGCTTATCCAAGTCCTAAAATTCTGCTACCAAACACCTCCCTTTGTCTTCCCTAAATTCGGCCACCCGGTGCTGCCATATGAATTATGGCGCTGGTTCTAGGTTTATGTGAATAACAAATCAGTTATTCTTTAATTCAAATAGCATTAAATGTAATCTTTTGGCCTATGAGTATCATTAACAAAATTTACTTTGTAAAATGTAATGGAAAGTAATTTTTGTTAAATTTTTTTCTGTCATCATTTTTTAGCACATTTAACTTTAAATCTGTAATCATTGCCAAACGTAATGTCAACATAAAAGATTACAATGCTGTTTTTGAATTACTAATATGAAAAAAAAAAAATTGTTTAGGTATCACTACATGAGTCATTACTCAAGTTGTCATATGTTGATAAACATGCGTTGAAGAAAGCAAAATACAGTACACTCCTGATTATTGGCGCCGCGGATAACAAAAAACGCGGATAATCCGAAAAAAGCTAAACGAGTATAGCAAATAAGAAAACCGTCATTCAAACTTTGAAAAATCGTTTTATAAACAGCAGGAAATGTTTAACTAACGCTTAATATTTTAGCTTATTACCTATTATTCTCCCGATGAGTCCAATTTTCGAATTCATGTGCTGCTTAAAACAGTAAACAGCCAGAAGACGCATCAAATTCCTTTCGGCCTACAGTCAAAAAAGTTTTTTTCCCACCGCAATTGATAGGACAGTTAAGATACCCTCTTTTCGAACTTTAGCTACCACTGTCAATGCCATGCCTACTCACAAAGGTAGACCCTCATATTTTTTTGCGTTTCATGCAAGCACTGAGACATTGATGCAAGTTCCACGTTTGTCTTTTTGCTTTAGAAGTAATGCACTGTTGTTCGTGATTCCGTCATAATTCATTGCAGGTTTTCGTTAACGCATATTTAATGTTTCTCTCAGTTTTGTGAACATTTTTATTTTCTTTGCTTTACGCTTGTTAAAAAAAAAAACTGTGTGCAGCAGGCGCGGATAATCAGGAGTCTACTGTATCATATATAATGATTCGCTGGGTTGATGTCGGGTATAAAATATTAGAAGGTGTAAAATCAATGATGTATCTGTATAATGTTTCCTTTTGAGATGTATGACCAGCAGCTACAAAGCCAAATTACTGATTGTACAAATTTATGCTAAAATGTTTCTTCAATAACAAGGTACTTTATTTAGTGCCAAAGTGAAATTAAGAATTGGGACTCTCCACATGTTGTATTATGCACGGGGGAGGAATTAAATGTGCATGCATGCAGCACACAAAATAAAATAAAAAAAGTTGGTAGTGGCCTTCGAGGTCCGGATTTTAGATCATTCCAGATATTGGACATCTGGATCTCAGACTTTTTTCTGTATTAATTTAGCATTAATCTATATCATTTTACATAGAGATTAAATTCTGATGATTTTCTTGTGTTACTAGATATACAAACATGTGAAAAGTCAAGCTGACAACATAAACCATTAATTAACTACAAATTTTTATTTCAATTATAATTTTAGACATGGTCATACCTCAAGATACTTGCCATAGTCAAACTACAGCTGTCTGGCCTCTTAGCTTCAACTCATGAACCATGTACAGCCCTTTGGCTGCAGATGAGTTGTAAAGGTTTTTGGTCTCTAAAATAAAAACTGCCTTCCAGCAAACAGTATTTTTATCTCTGAAAATTAAATTTTGAAACAGATAACATGCAATGATGTGCCTTTTTCATCAACCAAGAGTTTGGCTTTTTAAATTACATTATGTGCGTAATAATTTAATAGATTTCAAATTATCATTAAAATGCTGATTTAACAAATAAAATGGCAAAGAAATTCCATTTTTGTGTATTACCATCATGAATATGTTATTTTTACAGTAGGTAATGCCATCAAGAGGGCATAAAAGATATATGAAGGTCATTTTAAACACAATGTACTCCCAGGATTAATCCCCTTGCTTCTCAACAGCCATGAAAAATTTGTTATTTCTTGTACAGCATTGCTTCTATCCAGCTCTCAGATGGCATGGGCAACCACTAAAGAAATCTCTTTCAGGAAAGAAAAATGCTGTTGAGGCTTTTTCAGTTTAAAGAAGAATTACTGATTTAAAATTAATTTTAGTGAATCTTTGGATTATGGTAACTTGGTGACTTTGGGCGAAAATTTGGCAACCAACCCTGCTACAGCAACCTGCTAGGTTTTTTTTTTTTTTTTTTTTGGACGCCATTTTGTTTTTACGAAGTAAAGTTTTTTTTTTTTTTTTTTTTTTTTTTTTTTATACTCAAACATTTTTTCAAACAATCTGTAGCCCGAATTACGCGTATGCTAGAACTTTTATAGAACAAAAGTGCTTATCATACAAGATAGGTGCGAAATTGTTTTAATGCTTATTAGCTAAAATCACAATCGAATTTCGAAAAGTAGGGAAAAACATGCACGACAGGGCAATTTATATATGAAACATAAATATTTTTCTCATAAAGTAGAAAAAATTTGCACGAAAATCAACAAAATTTTCTGAATCTTTGAGTTCGTAAAAGGAATATATGAAATACCTATCGCTAAAAGGATTATACTATGCAAATTTATATGTAGCTGCATATACCCTTTCCAGGATGAACATTGCATGTACAAATAAATAAAATATCAGAATTAATTAATTTTCTTTCCCTCTAATTGTCCAGTATAAAAGTCATCACAAAAAATCTGTGATGGAACTGTGTACTTCTCAGATTATTGCTAAAGTCCTAGCTAATAACCTTTATCGCCTTACCAAAATGTCGCCAAACTACCCGTTACCTTATTCCAAAGATTAGCCTTAATTTTTTGTACAGATTTTGGTAGGTGCACTATAAATCAGAAAATATGCCACATCTCACCAACAAATTAGTATGTATTAGCATTTGAAATAAAAAATCTTATCTCTAAGCAGATCGGGTCAGCCAGTATGTTTAGGTGCATTATTCCATACAATCTTCAAAACCACACAAGAAATCAGATACAGTCACAATATGTATCCACAGAACTCTTTCATGATGAATCCTTAGTAATCCTAGACAGATAACTAAAGATTATTACTTCATCTATGTTGAAATCCAGTATTGATAATAGACTGTCGGAAGCTCAAATGTAAAAATTAAAATCAGCTGCAAATTTTTATAGAAATATAATGTTTGATAATCATTTTGATGCTCATAAATCTGGCTACCCATATGCTGTATACCATCTTGATTTCAAGAAATCTACCTGTAACTGCTATACAGGGGCGTAGCTAGAGGGGGGACAAGGAGGGGCATCTGTCCCCGGGCGCAGAATCCAAGGAGCGCCAAACTGATGTTACTACATTTTAGAAGGAAACATTTTTCATTCTTGGCACACTAAACGGGGCGCAAGATTTTCAGTTGTCCCTGGGCGCTGAAAACCCTAGCTACGACTCTGCTGCTATACTCTGTTGTTCTTCCCATTGATACAGTAATCTGTTTTCATAAAAAAAAAAATAAATAAATAAATAAAAAAATCGGAGACCTGCACAAATTCAGCTTTGCACACAATTTCAGCAGTACACCTGCAAACAATAAGTAAAGCAAATAACTGCTATAAATGAGATATGTCTGTCTTCAAACCAATACCCTATCATTATTTTAAAACTCTACTTTCAATTTTTCAAATTACATTTCCATAAAATTAAAAAGTATGACTTCATAGAATGTAAATTTTTGCATTCTTTATTATTGGACAAAATGCCATATTTCTATAGAAATGCAATACTTCTTTTTTTATCAGCCAGAAGAGGCCACAGTTCTATTACAATTTATTATAAGATGCTCTTGCTAGCACGCTCACGTTAATGTAAGCAAAGAAGTTGTTAGCTGGATTTGAAGTGAAACTCTCTTGGTTGTCAGTCCAGTGATCTATTCACTAAGCTATCATAGTCATCCACTATATAAAACTTTGATGACATCTGAAATCTGCACATTACAGACTAAGTGACTAAGTTTGACAGTTTTCACTACTACACATGATAAATTACTTTAAGAAAATATCGTAATTTCTTTAAACATTTATGCTTTGAAATGCAAATCTGTTTTTTTAATTTTCTCTAAAAACAATCAGTCTAGTATTCCCCCTCTTTGAATTATAAACTAAAAAGTTGTTAATTTTTTCTATGTGCAATGTTTATGTGAGATAGTTTCCCTGAGAAAGTCCTTCCCAAAGGCAACCCTTCGTTTAGGCAGATAGCCCTAGCATGTTTTTCCATAATGAAATAAAACCAAACTAAACATCTGTATATAACTTAAAACTAACTGTTTTTAATCCCTTCATCATTTAAAAAAAAATGAGCATTTACTCCAATTATAACAAGAAGGTTACTGATGAATAATTACTTCAGAAGTACATTTAAATTGATATTTAAAAAAAAATTTATGTAAATATTTAAGATGCTTGAAAAATAATATGATCAAGAGAATTTAAATGTTTTAAACTATCAATAATTAAAAATAATAAAAAGTGACTAATAAATTCTGCATAATTTACAATAATAAATAATATTTCTCTATAGGGGAAAAAGAATTAATTCAGAAATGAGATAAAATTGGTAATAATTTAATGCTTATTAATTTTAGATAAGTGATTATAACTTTCAAATATTTTAATTTGCTGGAATCAAGATATGGATATTCACAAAATTAATATATATAGAAAGAAAGTAAATAAAGTATCAAAAGCGAAGAAGATTTAAAACGTCCCTATTCATACAACTGGAAGGAAGCTACAATTAAAGAGATAATTTTTAAATAAAAAATTTACATATAGTGAGTGGAAATATAATTTACTTTTGCGGGTAATATATTCTGCATTGCAAGTAATCATAACATTAAAGCATCCATATGATATAGATCACAATCACTAAATTTTTAACTACATTCATGAATATGCACTTAATCTAAACCTAATAAAACAGAACCACGATAAAAATATACTTCTGCTAGGAAAAGAGAAATTATATTTATACTGTTGAAAACTGTTGCAACTTACCCATTTTATGGTGGGACATGATATACATAAATACTTGATTTTAATAAAATACACCTTATGCTTCACATTGCATTTTCTGTTAAAGCACACTACGTTTAAATCATACTTGCTTTAGACAAGTTATATACAGTTACAAGGCCTCATTTGCATAAATTTAAATACTAATTCCAAATAACATAACTAGGCTTTTTTCTAATTAAAAAAAAATTCAATTAAACAATTTCAAATCAATTTCCTCCATAACATCGTCTACTAAATTGATTTTCCCATGCAAATGCCAGACACCGGAGGTGTTTCCTGTCAGTTAATAATTTAAAAGAATTGTGAGGCTTTACAGCTAGAAGTATGGCTTAAAAAAATGTGAAAATAATTAAAATATGTTACTATTTTGTTCTACAAAATATGATATCTTTTACTTGCTGTATTGAATGCAGCAATTTCAAGACTTAAGAAACTTGCTGATACTGCAAATGATCAAATACGTATTAACGCTACTTACTTAAATTATAAGAAATTAATGAGGCAAAAGCAGCAGATGTAGATAGAGTAACTGAAACTGATTATATGAAAAATTAGTTTTGATGAGTCGAAAATTAATATCTCGAAATCTCAAAATAATTTTGTTGATTTTGTGCCCTATGATTGCACTTTTGACTATAGCGCAAGTAAGATTTAACGAATCACGTGGTGTTTTGCTATTATGAATAGTTAAATCCACTGTTTCGGTAGTCTCATCAAATTTGATCTCTAAATTTAGTGGTTGGCTTTTCAAGAATAGATTCCCAGGTAATTGTTAAGTAGTAGTTCCAGAATAAAATCTAAAGCTCAAGCCTTACGATTCTGTGTCCACAATTTGCTGCATTTTCATTTAAAATATCTTATTGATACATTTCTTGGTTACCTTTCCTCATGTAAGCAACTTCTTTCACAAAGCGAAGATGGAACTTGACTATTATAGTTCGACTCTCAAGCACAACCATGGTTGGCATTCTGCCAAAACACATAGACTCGTCCAAAAGGCGCGGTATTACTTGCTGCGACGTGAAAAGTCTTCTCTTCTCCGGAAAGAGCTATGCTGAAGGGAAAGGAAGTCCCCATCCTTCCACACTATTTTGAAAATAATTCGGTCCGAATGGCGCATGCGTGTTTGCGTTCATGGTCGCGGATGAGGCGGTGGAACTATATATGTAACTCGCAGCTGTGTCAGTCTTGAGGGCGCGTAGGAAGGCCAGTTGAAGGCAAACACAAAAGAGGAAAATCGGCTTTCTCGTGCTCCATCAAGCGGATGGTTAAAGATGGTGGTTAATTTAGGTGATGGTTAATTAAGAAACTGACTGTTCCTGAGAATAAGACAGCTACGACTGATATGATTGTTAAAAATGACTAATCTGACGTGACGACTAAGCTTGCAGAACCAAACTTACAGAAACAAGCCCATAGGGAAATCCTGTCGACGGATACGGAAAGCGTTAAGTTTCTCCAATGATACCAGTCAAGTAACTGGCCCTCCCACATGATACTGCGGATCAAATCTAGCACTCTCTAATCAGTTCGATTCTCAAAGCTGACATTCGGGACAACTAAAGCTTCTATGAAAGAGGAGTTGTGGCTATAGGAGCTCCAGTGACTCCCAATTTAAAGATTAGATGGAAATGGATTAATATGTTGATCCTGTTACCACCATTCAGTTTACAAAAGAACGGTTGTCTCTGGTCCCGAAAGTAGAACTGATTGCTTACGTGCAAGACCAAATAGACACCTACATGCCTAGTTGAATCTGATTATCACATGATCTGATGTCACGGTTTTAAGTTATAGTTGTTTACATGTGTATTTTATTCTGATTGTAAATTTGCAACTAGTAATTTTTATTGTCACAAAAACTGTCATTATCTAAATTACTTAGAATAATATCCCTTCTGGACAAATGGCCCCTTTGGGCTAATAATCAGGGGAATCCAATTTATCAATAAACTAGTCCAAGAGGATTAAAATATGCATGACGCAAAAAGGGAAAAACTATGCGAATATTTTTAAAAAATTAAAACTTAGCGCTAAAAAGCTAGGGGGCGAGGGAAATTTGTGAAGAAGTACGATAATCACAAAATATCACAGCAGTTAAAAATGACATGTAAATTTAACTATGCGGAGCCCTTTTATGCTAGAAATTGCCAAACGTCAATTTCTTCTTCTTTCGCGTCATTGACAGATGATTTTTGAAAAAAAAAGTTACATAAATTTTATGTTTAATTTCTCTTACAGATATTTTTCGATCAAAGAATTCCTATACATTCTAAAATATGTTATACAATCCACGAAGATCCTCATCTGATGAAACAATTTCAAACCCAATAATTAAGTTATTGAGGCACGGTGGCGCAGTGGCTAGTGCATCGCGCAGCAGCATCACAAGTCCGGGGTTCGATTCCCGGGCGCATATTTCACAAGTGCACATCAGCGTAGCCACTGAGGGAGGGTTTTCGAAAATGGACCAATCAGCTTCTATTGCTCTTGTAACGGTGAATCTTTGAAAACTGGGCATATGGGCGTATGTTGTTTACGTTTTAATTTGTATTTCTTTCGCAGTCATAAATATCTGGCGTAATAGAAGAAATTCTGGTAGTGCTTTCGCTTTATAAGTTTACTTAATCGCTAACATTTGGCGACAAAATTGGCGATATACCGTGGACGGTTGGAGAATTTTCTGGAACGAATTCTTACTGGTTTAGCCCAGAATGTTCTCGAACACAAGCCAAAAGCTATATAAACCCTGCTGGTCCGCAGTCAGTTAGTGTGCGTCTCTCATCGAGTGAGTGTGTCTTGTCTAGCGAGTCAATCCCTGCGGAGGCAATCACGTTGACAGCCGGCCAGCGAGTTCCGAGTGGGTCGTCGAATGTACAGAAAGAGTCTCGTAGAATATCGCGGTTAGTGCATCGTTGAGAGAGCGTGTTTAGCTCCGGAAACGACTGAACCGAGAGTCATGAGCTGTGCTCTGTGTGTCGTCGAGTGCATCGTGAGTTGTAGCGTGGAGAGTCTCGAGAGTACGTGGAGTTCCGAGAACGGCCAAGCAGAGTCGGGAGCTGTACTCCGGAAAGCAGAGTCGGTTGCTTTGCAGGAAGCTGTCTCCACGCGATAGCCTGATAACCTGAAAGCTGTGTCGCTAATCGTGTCAGCGTGTTTATAGTAGTTCATCGACCACTGTAAAAAGTGATTTTGAAGCTATCTGATTAATACTGGCTAATAAAGTGTGTTTCGATACTTCATCAAGTGTCGTCGTTATTCACTCCAAATCCACACGAACCCTGTACGAGCGTGAAGGAAGAAAATAACGTAACAACTGGTGTCAGAAGAAAAAGAAAAACGTAACAACCGGTGTCAGAAGTGGGATTTGCGAGTGAATGCCAGTGACCCGTCTGCAGAGGAAAGCCATGACGGAAGAAACGAAAACTTTGACGGATTTCTTAGCCGAGATCATAGCCGGACAGAAGGAGTTGAAAGCCGGATATGCTAAGATAAAGGGCGGATATGCTGAATTAAAAGTCAGATGTGCTGAGATAAAAGCCGGATATAATTAGATATGAATATGAAGAGATGACTATGAAGAGCTGAATATGAAGAGATGAAAGCTGGACTATAAGAGATAAAAGCCGGCCGAGAACAGGTGCGAAAGCAACTCCCACAGATGAAAGTGGAACTTGCGGAAGAAACTGGATCCATAAAAGAAAATGCGGAAATGACAGAAGTGGCGTCTGAAGAATCAAAGGATGAAGAAATGAAAGAAGTAGCTAATGAATTGCCCGAGAAAGATCAAGAAATGATGGAGGATACATTTAACGGGATTAAAGTAAAAGAACGAAAACATGAAGAAATAAAAGACGGGAAAGAAGATATTGAATCTCATGTGCCTGAAGTAGAGATAGAACAAAGTGAAAACGCGACTGTCAAGATCGTCGAAAGTGATAGTGAAATGATGAAGTCGCAAGCAGCAAGTGTTGAATCATCTGAAAGTGCATGTGATGCAGAGATGACAGAAGTTGATGTACAGCTTAAGCAGTGTGCTCCAATATTGCAAGAATATTCACCCACTTTGCAAGCTATGTGTGTGCCTCATAGTGCAGGTTTTGCAGACAAGGACTTGATTTTGATTTTAGACCAGGATAGTTGCGTTTGTAAAGTATCGGGTTTTGTTCATGACTCTGTTGCAGAAGTTGGAGCTAGTTCTCAGGAAACGGAGAAAAATGTGCATGTACCAGCTGCTCAAAATACCGAGGTGAACTGTATGCATGCTGCGAATGAACTACAGAGTGGTGAACAAACTGTTTCAGATCTTTCTGTGGATGACAAGTCTGAAAGGACTGAATCTTCAGATTGTGATATGCTCTGTGTGTCGTCGAGTGCATCGCGAGGTGTAGCATGGAGAGTCTTGAGAACGGCCAAGCAGAGTCTGGAGCTGTACTCCGGAAAGCAGAGTCGGGTGCTTTGCAGGAAGCTGTCTCCACCGTGATAGCCTGACAACCTGAAGGCTGTGTCGCTGATCGTGTCAGCGTGTTTAGTTCATCGACGACTGTAAAAAGTGATTTGGAAGCTATCTGATTAATCTTGGCTAATAAAGTGTGTTTCGATACTTCATCAAGTGTTGTCGTTATTCACTCCAAATCCACACGAACCCTGTACGAGCGTGAAGGAAGAAAATAACGTAACAACTGGTGTTAGAAGAAAAAGAAAAACGTAACAATATATTCTGTATGACCTGATTAAAAGGTAGTTTAATGTTAAATTAAAATCTTTTAATGAAAATTAATACAGAAGAACTTTGCTTACTGAAGTAAAGTTTTAAACAACAGTATGCAACTGTAGCAGCACGAATGAAATTCCTAAAAAAAAACCAACTGAGAAACCATATTTTGATCTGTGGTTATGTATTTCAAGTTTTTTCCAATTTGACATAGCATTCACAATATCAAACTTATTCTGATGAGCCATGAGTAACTCTAATTAAAATAAAATTCTATATGAAAAATGTTCGTACTTTTTAGTCCAGGTATGGTTCCGGTTAAATATTTGTAACATTTTAAATTTGCATTTATTTTTTATTCGTTGCATAGTTTTTCTCTTTGCAAAATAAGATCATTCATAATAATTTAAGTAGTTTATTGAAGCCTGAATAATAAAATGAATCTAGCTTAAATGCTATTTCTTCACGCAGATGCAAAATATAGATATGATAATAATATGCAATTGCATAATTTTATTGAGAGTTTT